AAATATTTGTTTTAAGGAATTGGGTGTTCCAGCATTTGGTGCATATATATTTACAATTGTTATATAGTAGTACCTTGGTTAGCAAACTTAATTTGTTTTACAATTTTGGGGAAGATGGCAACATTTGTGCTTGTGTGTTATGTTTGTGTGGTCACGCTTGTCAACCAATGCAGAGTTTGCAAATGGGCAAAATTTTGCTGAATACTTATGTTTGCTAACCAAATTGTTATTTATTTATTTATTTATTTATTTTAAAAATAAAAGGAGGAAAATAGTAACAGACAGACAACACTTTACAAAATAGCAAAGGAACAGTACAGACAGTATGGAGTTACAAACAAAGTGATTAACCAAATTGTTTGCAAAGAGAAGTATTCATGAACTGAGGTATTACTACATTTTCCTATTGAAATTTTCCCTTTACCAGGATGTGGTGACCTTTATCTCTTCTGATCAGTTTTGGCTTGATGTCCACTTTTTTTTTTGAGATAGAGTCTTATTACTTTGTTCAGTACTGGGTTGAACTCACTCTGTATCCTAGGCTTGCCTCAAACTCACAGTGATCCTCCTGCCTCAATCTCCTGAGTGCTGGGATTATAGGCATGAGCCACCACACCTGGCAAAGTCCACTTTTAAAAAAACACAACAGGAAAGCTACTCCTGCTTGCTTTTGAGCTCCCATTGCATAGATCTTTTGTTTCCAGTGTGTGTTTCTTTGTGGATAAGGTGTGTCTCTTGTAGACAATATATAATTTTAGTTTTTGATCCAAGCTGCATATCACTATTTTTCGGTTGGAGAGTTAAGATCATTTACATTGAGAGTTATTACTGAAAAGTATTTACTAAACCCTGTTGCTGCATTCTTTTTCAGTTGCACATTTCTTTATTTTTTTCCTTAACTACTCTCCCAGCTAGATTTTTTGTTTTGCTTTGAGACAAAGACTTTCTATGTAGTTTGACCTGACCTTGAACTCACTGTGTAGCCCAGCAATCCTCCTGTCTCAGCCTCCTGAATGCTGAGATTGTAGGTTTGCACCACCGCACCAGCTTTTTTTTTTTTTTTTCTGTACTAGGGATTGAATTTAGGGACTAACGCATGCTAGGCAAGTGCTCTACTAGTGAGCTACACCTCTGTATCTCCAGACTTTTAAAATCTTTTAACATGTAAGGCCAGGTCTTGCTAAGTTGCCCAGGATGGCTTCAACCTTGTGATGCTCCTGCTTCAGTCTCTCCAGAAGCTGGGACTCCAGGGGTGCTGCACCCTGCCCAGCTTGGTACAGAGTACTGTGATGAGCTATATTGAGGCTTTTTATAGAGGCTTTTTATAGATTTGAATGGCATTTCCATTTTTCTGTGATCTATCTTTTCTTTTGTCTATATCCTGATTTGTCACTTTTGTTTTTTCTGTTACTGGTGCTGGAGGTGGCACCTGAGGCCTCTTCTATGTCAGGGAAGGGCCCATCACTGAGCTATCTCAAGTTTTTCTTTTCAATATTTAGAAATTTGTCATATGTTAAGGATAATAATCTTTTGTATTATGAGTTGCAAATATTTCCCTGCAACCTTTTCTGTTTATGGTGGTTTTTGCTACATAGTTTTTACTTTTTATGTAATCAGATGTATCAGTCATGGCCCTCAGTTGCTTCTGGGCTTTGAGTCATAGTTAGGAAGCTAGAATTGTTTCCAATGTGAGTCAGTGTGTGTGCAAACATCCGAGGATCTGTGGGCCTGAGAATAATATTTTCTGTATTACACTCTTATATTTGTATGAAAATTTGGCTGGATATGAAAGTCTAGGCTCAAGGTTCTCTTACTTCAGTGCACTGAAAACTTTATTTGCTTGTTTTCTTTCATTCAGAGTTGCTTTGAAAAGTCTGATGTCAATCTTATTCCTAAACTAATACTTATTCGTGTGAGGCAAGTGTTCTTCCACTGACCTACATTCCCACTCTTTTTACTTCTTTTGAGACAGGGTCTCACTAAGTCGCCTAGACTGCTCTCGGACTCGAAGTTCTCCTGCCTCAGCCTCTTGAGAAGCTGAGATGACAGGAGGCGTATCTGCTTTTTTTTTTTTTTTTTAGATAAGGTCTTGTTATGTAGTTCAGGCTGGGCTTCAACTCATTATGTAGCCCAGGTTGGCTTCAAACTCAGAGCAATCCTCCTGCCTCAGCCTCCTGAGTGCTGGGATTACAGATGTGCACCACACATCCAGCCTGTCTGCTCATTTTCTTTGTAAGCTTTCAGGAGTTTCCTATTGTCTTTGACAGTCACTGTCCTATGTCTGTATGTGATGATCTCCCATGTGTCTCCTCTTCAGCACCTTCTGACTTTCTCTTGCATCCTTTTTTTTTTGGTTTTGGTTTTGGTTTTGGTTTTTCTCCGGTACCAGGAACCGAACTCACGACCTTGCGCTTGCCAGGCAGGCGCTTTGCCACTGAGCTAAATCCCCAGCCCTGCATCCTCTCTTGATTATGGGAAATTTATCTCACCTGTTGTCAGGAATCTCTGCTCTCTTTTAATTTTTTTTCTTGCAGGACTCTTATTATACACATTTGACACTGCTACTTCTAACCTCCAAATTTCTTATCTTTCCTTTTGCTATAGTTTGTCTTAGCTACTTTTTCTCATTACTGAGATGAAATACTTGTTGCCCAAAGTTAAAGGAGAAAAGGTTGATTTGGCTCAGGTTTGTAGAAGTTTCTGTCCATAACTGGCTGTCTCCAAGGCAGGGTGCCGTGGCAAAGGGGCATCAGACAGGAGAAACAGATCATGGCAGGCCGTGAAGCAGCAAATGAGAACAGCAGTCTCTTTCTTTCCCTTATAGGCTACACCCTTAGGGTGGGTGGCACTCACACCGAGGGACAGCTTTCCCATTACCCACACCCAGAACTATGCCAAACCAGTCAGGGGACTGATTGAGTAATCACACGCCCTTAATCTCAGCATCACACACTCTAGATCCAGCCACCTCCGAAAAGCTCCACCTATGACTGCATGAGGCTTTGGGGAACATCTAGACCCAGCCACGACATGGCTCTTTGCCTTTCCTGCTCCCTTCTAGAGTATTCTTGAAGCATTCTTCATTGTGGATCAGCAATTCTCTCTTCAGCTCTCTTTCCTATTGCTTACACCATCGACTGTGTTCTTTGTTCTGCTGAGACTACACATTTATCATGTTCCATTCCTACTTAAATGTATGTACATTTTTTCAGATACAGGCTCACTGTGTTGTTCAGGCTAGTCTCACACTTGGAGCTCAAGGGATCTTCTGGCCTCCGTCTCCCAAGTAGCTGGGACTATAGGCATGTGTTATTATGCCAGGCTTTTATTGTTATATTTTTGATACCTATCTTTCTACTTATTTTTAAGTTATTATTTTATTTTGGTATCATTTCATGTTGCTAATACAGTCCTTGTAGTCCCCAAGGCATACTATCCATGTTTGTTTAAATTCTCCATCTGTCCCCTCTAACACTGGTACTTCAGATAATACATATGGTCCACCTTTCCCTTTGTGGTATGTGTTGGGGGTCTTTGTTTGGAGTGGTTGTCCTCCCATGTGTGTCGCTGTTTTCTGAGGGTCAGATTCTCAAGTCATTCATGTGTGTTGAGCGAAGCTGGCTGAAGGTGAACTCCCAGCCCAGTAAGGATGTGTGAAAGCTGTGAGTCCAAGATGGAATTCCTAGCCCCCCAGAACTGTTCTGATCACTCTCGGTTTGCTGCCACCAAGCGGGCATTTACTTGGGTCAGGATTCTTTCCAGTCCTTATGTTGAAAGGCAGCTCAAGAAGGGGCAGCTTCTCAGGTTGTCATCAATGAGAAATGATGTCCCGTAACTGTTGATGACAGCGCATCACTCTGCATCATCTCTTCCCCTAAGCATATTTTTAGTATTGTGGTAAACAATTCATAATTATTATTTAAACCATTTTAAGGGTAGAATTTGGTGGCAATAATGCATTCACAGTGTCGTGTACCATCACCACTGTCTATAATCAGAAATGTTTCATCATTGCCAACCTAAACTCTTGTGTTAGGTTTCCATCTCTGCGACAACTACTGAGCTAACGATTTGAAAAGGAAGAAAGGTGTGTTTGGCTCACGCTTTCTGAGGTTCCTGTCCATGGCTGCTTGGGCCTGTGGCGAGGCAGAGCATCACGGTGGAAGAACCTGACGGGGGAAGCTGCTCAGCTTATGGTGCCAGGAAGCAAAGAGGAAGATAGGAGGGCTGGAGCCCCAGTGCCCTCTGAAGCCACACCCCACAACTCCATTTCTTCCCTCAAGGCCCCACCTCCTAAAGGGTCCTCTGTCTCCCCCAGCCTGGCGATGGAGCTTTCAGCAGGTGCCTCCCAAACTGCAGTAACTCTGTGCCCACTGAAGAAGAGCTTGCTCACCCTTCCCCAAGCTTCTGTTTCTGTAAATTCCCATATCCTAGGCATCTCCCGTAGTAAAGTCATGTAAAACTATCCCTGCATCTGGCTTGTTTTACTCAGCGTAATGTTTTCAGAATCCATCTGTGTCACAGCACATATTGAAATTGCATTCTTTCATGTACCTACACAGTGTTTCTTCATCAGTTTCGATGTCAACCAGGTTTGCAATGCCCCAACATTTGGCACCCACAGCCCCACATCTTCCAGTTTTCTGCAGTGATGTCATTGTTTCAAAGAAGCTGGTGGGTGGGGAGGGGGCACGAAGTGGGAAGCATAGAGCCCTGAGCCAGATTTGGTGGCACACGCCTGTAATCTCAGCTTCTCAAGAGGCTGAGGCCAAACTGTGAGTCTGAGAGCAGTCTAAGCGACTTAGTGAGACCCTGTCTCAAAAGAAGTAAAAAGAGTAGGAATGTAGGTCAGTGGTAGAGCACTTGCCTCACACGCATGAGACCCTGTCTCAAAAGAAGT